GCTCCGGCCGAGCGCCGTCATGATGCAATAGATCGAACAAAGCTTGGTGGTCGCCCAACATGATCAGCGCCTGTGCCACGCCGACACGGGCATCGTCGGGCTGGTCTACATTCGACATGAAATCCCGCATCCGTAGAATGGGCTCGTCATGCAGCCCTAGTGATCTCGTTGTCAGCCGTTCGAATCCACATAATGTGTGGTAGTACACACACATTATGTGCACCGCCCATGTCCGTGGACCTGTCGTCCCCGTTGCAACACGAACATGTACCTGAACGTCTTGGGATGCAAGACACGGTTTTCTCGCCTTCTGTTGGCATCTTTTCACTGTGTGTGGGTAATTGTGTCGCGTGGGTTTGGAGAGCCCACCAAGAGCAAAAAATCATACATGTTCGATCGTATTAGAACTTACAGGTTGGCCACATTGATTGCAGATTAAACCACTTTGAATGAATAGATTCCAGGTGTACTTCGACGTTCGAAGTAATTAAAACTTCGAAACCACATTGATTGCTGGTTTCGCCACATTGAACGGGCAATGGTGTAGTACTACCTCTGTCCGACTTCAATTGTCGTGATTCATATTTCCTATTTCCGGTGTTTTGATTGTCGTGATTTCACATTATTGGTTAAAATTGAAACTCAAACAGTTGTATTGGTCAAAATTATCCTTGGATCACAATGTCAAAGGTCGACAAGCCGAGCAGCAAGGTACGTGTCAGCAGAAAATGCCAACGACTCTTCCAGCTCACCGCGTCGATGCTTGGCTTCTTTGTCAATGTGCTGCAGCTTGTACTTGTTGCTTCCACCAGTCTCCAAGTTGCACTCCATGACAGACTGCAACGTGTAAAACACGTTGTCCAACGACACCGCGGGTACGTTCGTAATCGCATTCTCCACGCTTCTGATTTGCTTGCCCTTGTGCCCACACACGCTGGATAGTTCGCTCGGCAACGTTGTAGAGGCTAGCTTGCTGCTTTAAGTCGCCGTAACGAAATTTACCGTTCGTGCTGTGATGCAGTAGAACAGCATAGATCGCTATCTTCTCCGACTCCAGGAGATGGCGGAACGTCATGCAGGAGTATACTCAGATCAAGTGT